TGTAGCTAGCTCTGTAGACTTTTGATATCCTTTCGTACCAGGCCTATAGGTGTCTATTCGAATCAAGGCTCGTTTGATGTCCTACGCACTCCCATATGCCTCTGAGTGACACTCCCGCCAGTACTGATCCGAGTAGTCTTGCCTGCGCCGTTACAAATACTATAGATATAAAAAAGTCTCTAGAGATAGAGTAAGAGATTACTATATTTTACTATAATTTATAATAAACTTATAAACTTTTCTATATAAATATTTCTCTAAACGCTAGAGCTACGAAAACTTTTATAATATAGAAGTAGTAAATCTAATATATTACTCTAACTATAAACTCGTTTTTTAAAAACTTATTTCTAGTAGGTAAGAGTATAGTCTACTATTTATTTCTAAGGAATAATAATCTAATAGGTTTTACGCTACCTAGATAATCTAGTTTAAACTATAAATACCTCTAGCACATAGTTAATACAAGTTACTAGCGATGTTTAGCACGGACGTAGAAAGCGAGGTGCTGAAAGTTAAAGTACCCCTTATTTGTCCTAGCACGGCGGGTGTCCCAGCACTCGGGGAGGGACGTTACCTGCGCCGTTACAGGTTCTTAGCCCGTGTGGGGTGCCGGTATCTTTGTCCACAGGCTGGCTGTGTGCGCAAAGCGGAAGCTGGAAGTACATAACAGTGTATTGGTTAAATAATGGCTAGATGTATAACTAGTTGGCTTTTGGGTACATTTGGACATTGTTGTGGGTTGGGGGTGGGCAAAGCTAGCAAGGTGGCTGATGAGTCAGTGCGGCTAACTCGACTATTGTAGCTATTTCATGCCCTATACAACTCTCCATTTGATAGTGATAACGACTCTAGAGCTTGATGCTCTCGCCAAACTAATTGGCTTTGCAGGAACGGTTCCTACTGCACCTGCATTCAGAGACCGTATATCGTTCTGATTAAGAGCAATCCGGGTACTTCCAATATACGCTCGGACCTCGATTGAATCGGTAGGAGGTGGATTGTAGCCATCGACTAAGTTAATCCCAAGAAAGGCAGTACCATCGTCCTTATTCCATACGGTTGCTGCGATCTCCGCGCCAGGAGACTGTGAATCATGAGGGACGGGATCACCCACGGCTGGAAGGGTAATACCGAAGGAATTCCATCCAGAATTGCCAAAAGGTAGACAGCCAAAGCCCGTGCGACAAACCGTTTGGCGGGGCAGAACGATTGGTGAGTCGCTTGTTTGCAGAGGTCTTGCTGTAACAACGGCAAGGCACAAGCAAAGAATCGAGAAATATTTTGAAAATATATGGAACATCGTGAAATTCACCTTGGGTGCTTAAAGTGGTGAGAAAATTAATTTGATTCCTGTTTACGCAGTATTCAAGCAGGAACTTAGAGGGCTTTAAACGCTTTCGAAATCTTGGGTAAATCTTTGGCTGAGATGTCATTAGGATTCGTCTAAAGCTTATCTCTCTGCTCGGATACCCTGGAGATGAGTCTTACTACGTCTGACAAGAGAATCTGATATTGTGTATGGTACTAGGATTGATTCTCAGCGTAGTGTAGCAAATAACAGCCTTTCAACACTTACCGAGCCGTCTTCGCCGCTAATAATTGATTAGCCTTCAGTGGTATAGAGGAGGTTCAGTTAAAACTCTACCGCTACCGGTAACTAAGACTAAAAGTAAGACTTTAACATCTTGAGACCTTCTGTGTACTCTATAGTTAACACCTTTCTAAAATAGTGAAACCTTTACTATATCCATTATTTCTTGTTTCAGTAGCGACTGCTGCTAAAACGTGTTACCTTCCCTATTACAAATGCTTTGGCCAGATCAGCTACAACATCTTTGCTAGGTCCGCAGTAGAGATTTGTGCTTCGTTGGGGGGGACTTTTGATCATATCGAAGAAAAAACAATTTGGTGTAGAAATGTACCCAATTGGGTGCCTGAAAACTCAGTTTACACTGTAGCAGGGGTCGAATGCGAAGTGCATGTGTGCTCAGTTGGCTAAGGTAGTAGCGCCTGCGCTCTGATGGGTTGCACACAGAATCTGGAAAAATGCTACAACATTCCCAAGCGCGAGCATAGCTACTATCGCCGTGCCTTTAACTTCGTAGGGGTGTATAGGAAGGCGATAAGTGCTAGTGCGGCACCTAAATAGACGTTTAGTAACTAGAAAAAGAATCAAACTACACATACATTTACAGCTTCTAGTTTCTAGAACTAAATAACCCTCTATTAGATACTAAACCTCTCTTACTTAGTTATAATTAAATCTTACTAAATAGTACTAGTTTCTATTAGTTATATTATAGGTAAGTTTTCTATTTAACTCTTAGACTAGTTTTTTTCTTTAAATAGTTATATATTATATAAGACTTATTTTATATTTCTAAATAAAATATAAAATAGACTTAAGAGCTAGTAAAATCTATTAACTTTCTATAAAAGAAGCTTAAAGTCTATAGTTAAATCATTATCTAGCTATAATTTATCTACTTATTATCTATATTAACTACTACTAAATTGTTTATAACTAACTCTATGTATTCTTATATAAACTATCTTATATCTAAGAAGGTATTTATTTAACCTCCTTATGATACTTTCTTTATAATTATACTATATAATAACTATTTCTAAAGACTATATATAATTTTCTATAGATGTTCTGCCTTCTTATAGATTATTTATGAGATAAATCTAGCGGTGAAATGTCCTCTGCTTTCGAAGGCTAGTCTTGATATTAGGCTGGTAGGCACTCTTATTAGTAAATACTTTTAACAGCTACCTCCGTATTGTGGCACGATACATGATCGAGGTCAAAAGATTAGAGCGGCGGCCCGCAACCAAGTAGATAGAATAAGCTGAAAGCTGATCGCTGCAAAGGAATAATTGGAGAAGGTACCTATCTACGTGCGAAAGAAAATCGCAATATATACTATGAACTAGTCACGTGATACTACACCACAGCATATTAAGCTATAAGGGCTTAATGCCTAATGCTATATACTTGTGGTTTCATGTGATTCCGCACGTTGCGCATTGTTCCACGCGAGGAACAATGTGGCACTTCATGGAACATGTGGAACACACATCAGTGAAAAGTGGGGTAATGGCCTGTACTGAGTTCTTGAGAGTAAGGACCTCGCGGCCCTTCATTATCTTCTCTCAGTCCCCTCGCCCTTGGTTCTTAACACTGATGCGCGAGTTAGTTAGTCGACTAACTTTAGTTACCCACTACACCTTTTATGTAACTAGCTAGAAAGGATCCAGAAGTAGAAGCTATTCCTTATGCTAGCGACAACTGGAGAAGTATAGCCTAACCCCATGTCACATAAGACTTTCGTTCGGACGACCGACATGTTACGTGCCCTAAGCACCTGCGGTCAAAGCTTATGTATGAAAAGGCTGAATAAGGGGATCCAAGAGTTGCACTAAGTAAGTTCTGAGTCTGTCCAAAATAGGGCCTGCTTATCTGCATCATATGGACGTTACTTTCCGAAGCTTACTCGTATACCTATAGTTAAATATTATATAGTGACGTGGCATGAATTCTATTTCCTGCAAAGAAAAGCTGGAGCACAGAAGATGGAGACAGCATATAAATATAAGTAGTGCCTTCTAACTATTGTGACAAAATGCAGGTACAAAAATCCACGAACACTCTTTTTTTTTCCTTCCCTCCAAAATGAACTTCTTTATACTCAGCGCCACGATCATAGCTACTGTATCCGCCTTAACAGTGGATCTCGCCTTAAGCTCTTGTCCTAACGCAGCGGCTTTCAATATTACCCAAACAATTGATGGAGACGATATTTTGCCGCTACCTGTAGACGCAGGCCCTGTTTGCGGCATACAGGTGATTTCGGCTTCACCCAACACTAGCTTCAGCGCCGTCGAGTGTGCTCTCATTCTTGGAGAGGACGATTATCCTATCGATCAGGTGGCTTCTGCATCAAGCCCTTACTGTTACAAGTAACAAGAAGGATTCTCTCCTTGACGCAGGGTGACGGGGTTGGAGGCCAACCACGTCCACGTCAAAAGGTAATGACATCGCGGGGCTTTGGGTCACGTGATGTATTCTCCCGCCAAGAGCCACTCT